GAAAATTTCCCTTCTCGCTACCTTAAACAAAGACAGTCAAAGCATGTCCTGGAAATAGTTAAGGGCAAAAATACAGCTACCATGTATATTCATGCACTTTTTACATGACAGACATTGTTTTGTCATTCACAAGTGCACATTTTTTTGTTCAGAACAGTAAAACATTGAAAAAGACTAGTCATGCAAATTTGGCCATTTTAGAATATACAAGAGGAATGGGCGCTTGACCGATCATGGGTACAAACACAAGCAAATACAGTAAATCGAACTAATATAAAGAAAAAGAATGTAAACTTACATGTACCATCATCTGAAGAAGTTATTTGTCTCAGAAATTCAAGAACCTTTTCAACTTCTTCTGTTGTCACTTCTTGCTGATTCTTTTGAAGTTTTTCTAACTGAAAAAAAAATAAATGTAGAAATGCAAACTAGAACATGATGTGAAATCATGATGAGTATCGTATCGTATGAATTTTGGGCATAACTTAAATGTCACAGCATTATTTTTTGTCAGAATTGCCTACTTTCTACAAAGCTCCATCAAACAAACTGTCGCTATATGCATGAAATTCTTGCTAATCTGCCAATGCTAGATCATATCATGGAAAATGTTACGTCTGTTTTCATTTGTAATAAACACATCACAATTTATTTAATCAAACAAAAATTATTCCATTAATTGGGCACAAGAAAAAATAAATCTATTTGTATTCTTTTAATTTGTGCTCTTAAAAATAATTATTCTTAGTACTACAAGTTTTTATGCGTTGTTTTGTACCTTGCTCTTTTCTGCCCAATACACTTACCAGAGATGGATACGAGGTCAATATGTAAAGAGTGACCATCATGGTCAGTCAATAGATTAGCTTCTACAATAGTTTCTGTCGTTTTGGGTGGTCCAAGTGCCGGCGTTGAAAATCGGCGTAGGTGGATTTTTCAATGAAAATATAAGCCTCCTAAAAATATTTGATGATAATTTTTTTTTTGTCAAGCACTTTCATCTATAATGAAAATGTGACACGAGGTCAATCGCCCGACCAATAAAAAACGTCAATTTACGCACCATAGGGCGGTTCACTTAAATGACGTCATAGAATAAAATCACTTCCCAAAATGGCAGAAACATGGTCGATGCAACCCTGTAGACCAGCGACAAAAAGCCCTGTACTAAGCTTTCCATCACGGAAATTCATAATCGATGTGCCGACCGATGGATATTTATCGACTAAGTAATAATCTTGCCCAACTGTAGTGTCGTTGGGAATGATTTTCTTTCAGGTCAAATCTTGACCGAACCTAAACTGCTTGCTAACTGAAAGGCTGTGATGACAGAGATTGTCTGCGATTGCGGCTACACCAAGTACTGATAACTTAAAAACTCAAACAAAATGTATATTTTTAATGTCTTCATGCAATGCAATATATTCTGAGTTATCCACTTTATTCTGGTCCGTGAATTCATAGGAAACAATTATAAACATGTTTTCGAACGCCGCGATTTAAAAGAATACATTTAAAAATTAGCATTCAAAAATAAAATGGGTGCGCGAATTAATAGAGACGACGAATTAATCAAGTTATTACAGTAACACAATAAAGCAATTTTATAAATAGCAATGGAATACACATACTTGTTGGGGATGTACTTTTGGGCCAAGTTCCTTATCAGTCACTCTTCTTCTATTAGCACTTCTCTTAGACTTCTGAATTTCTCCTCTTTCAAATGAACCAAGCCTGCAGCAACATAAATTAAAAAGAAGCTATGAGAGTATCCCTAGAGAAATGTAAAAAGTAGCTATGAAGCAACTGATATCAAGTATCCTAGGGGAATGTATAAAGAAGCTATGAACAATAGATATCAAGTATCCCTAGTGGAATGTAAAAAGTAGATTGGAAAAAGATAGCACCCAAGGGAATGTAAATAGATATCATGTATACCTAATTAATAACATACTTCAAATTTATCATACACAATCATTTTAGATGAAACTACATATTGTTTTTACCTCAAGGGGAATGTAAGAAAAAAACGTATAAAAAAGATAGCAAGTACTTATAGGGGAATGTAAAAAAAAAGCTATGAAGCAATAGAATAGAATAGAATAGAATAGAATAGAATAGAATAGAATAGAATAGAATAGAATAGAATAGAATAGAATAGAATAGAATAGAATAGAATAGAATAGAATAGAATAGAATAGAATAGAATAGAATA